AGGGAGCCTGGTGGGCTCCAGTCCATGGGGTCGCAAAGTCAGACACTAAGTGACTCAGCGAGCAGGCACAGGGCTGACTGTCATTTGCAGCTGAAGACAGCTCCCTTCCATGGTGGTGAGTGGATCGATGAAAAGACACACCCCACCACCCACATCCTTGGTGTTGCCCTGTGGGTGTAGAGAGTTACATGAAGTCTTCCAGGCTCTTTTGCAGATAGTGTGTGCCATGAACTGTCTCAGCAGAAGTCCACACAGAGAGAGAAGACGTGAGAACCAGGTGGTGTGCATGGGTTTGGGTCTCTCCCCCTCCTGTCTGGGGGGGGCGGGGGGCAGATTGGTCAATGTCTGAACATCCACCCAGTTAGATGCGGATGTTCTGGTAGTATTTGCACTATAAGATGCTGTGAGCAGGATGAGATGAAGTGGGAAGAGAAGTGCTTTGTAAACTATAAAGTATAAGGCTCGCTGTTTCTTGGGGACCTGTTAATGATATGTTAATAATTTTTAGTCCAATTAGCCAAAAGAATAGAAATGTCAAACATCTGTTGGGAGTGTTTACTGCCAACAAAATTTTTTTTTTTTCTTGGTAATAGGAAAATTCGGTTTTCTTTTTTCCCTTGTTAAAGCAGAAATGCCAACCCAAGTGAAACGGTTATACCTCTCTCGATGTAGACCACCCCTATATTTAACAAGATTCCATTGTAGATCCATCCTGCCTAGCTCAACTTAAAAGAGTAGAGGGAACTCAGCTGTTTTGACCTTCACCAGCATCCCAGATTCAAAACTGGTTCCCCCAGCATGAGACCAGGACGCAGGAGTAACCTTGAAATCTTGAAAGTAATTGGTCACCAGTGGATTACACCCGGGAGATGGGGATGGCAACCCATGCCAGAATTCTTGCCTGGAAAATCCCATGGACAGAGGAGCCTTGTGGGCTCCAAAGAGTCCAAAAGGTCACAGAGTCGGACAGGACTGACTGGCTAAGCACAGCACAATGGATTGTAACAGACTCCTTTAAGTCTTTTTTTAAGATATTTTTTAAAAAAATTATCTTTTCTCTCCGGTAGGTTTTTCATAACACATCCATGTCAGCATCCCTGCTGCTGTTCGGTACATTCAGGTCTGCCTTTTACCTTGACCCGCCTAAGAATTCAAGCTCAAGGGCAGCAGAGGCTCCCAGGGCAGTTTTCTGGGTGGAAATTGAGAACTAACCTTTGAATGAACCTGAAATTTAGAAAACTGCACGTGGGGCTTCCCAGGTGGCTCAATGGTAAATCACCCACCTGCCAACGCAAGAGATGCAGGTTAGATCCCTGGGTTGGGAACATTCCCCTGGAGGAGGAAATGGTCAACCCGCTCCAGTATTCTTGACCCGAGTATCCCATGGACAGAGGTGCCTGGAAGGCTACAGTCCATGGGTTTGCAAGAGAGTTGAACACAGCTGAGCAAGCACAGGCATGAGGTTGAATTTAGGCAGGAAGAACGTCCCCTTTCTGTGTGCCCGTAAGATGCAAGCGATCTTGGTGCTCAGCGAAACTCAAGAAAACCAAAGCGCAGAGACGAACTTGATTCTGCTCGCCCATCTGTACCTGTGTGAACGTGGTGCTGTCTGCCTCGGCTGATCACAAGCCATCTTTGGAAGGAGTCGACCAAATGGCAGGAGTGCTCTCTGTTTTCCCTTCTCATGGAGTTGTCATCATGGGTACAGAGAGCCCTGCCTTCCCCGGGGACTCAGTGGGTAAACAGCGGTGCAGGCGGCCCTGCACACCTGTGCACAGGTGGGCTGAGCCAAGTGCATGTCGGTGGCTCCCAGTACGGGGGTCAGGTTTGGGCGCACTTTCTAAAAATAAAATGACCCCTTGGGAGATTTAAGGTTATGTAATAGTATTTGGCAGTCAGAGAAGGCTGACAGTTGTTCATGTAACAAGTTTATAGGGTGGAGCCATGGTTGCAAAGTTGGGTCAAACAAACCCGCAGGGAGATATAACCATTTCTCTGTGTAGATAGTTCTGTATCCACAGATTCAGTCAACCATGGATCCGAAACGTGGGGGGGAAAAAAAATTACAGGAAGTTTTCAAAAGAGCAAAACTTGAATTCGTCTCATGCTGGCAACTATTTACATAGCATTTATGTTGTACTTAAAGCTCTTTACATGGTATTTAGACTGTATTACATATTATAAGTAATCTGTAGATGAGTTAAAGTATACAAGAGGATGTGCGTAGGTAATGTGAAAATTCTTCACCCTTTTATGTAGGGAATTTTGGAAGCAGCCCCCTGTGGATTCCGAGGGATGACTTTATTGAAAATCAGATTAGAAAATAGGCATTTATAAATCTACATTAAACATGAAATTGGACGTAGAGTTCGGTGGTGTGTTCTAACATTACAGTAGGAAAAGATCCAATGGCTCGGATCAGATGGTGGGTTTGAATTTCACAAAACAAGGGCAGTGGCCCCTGATGAATGTAAACCAGCTTGCTGCCACCCACGCCTTCATCCCAAGGCTTTTTCCCTTTCTGTCTCTAAAGTAAACTATAGAAAATGGCTTTTAAAGCCTTCTTTTATTTACCTGCTGGGCTTGTTTCTGCAGTACTCGGTGATCTGTGTTCCCATTGAGCCTGACAGTCTACCAGCAGTAGGAGCTTACGTTTACATATAACCTTATTAATCATATTCTTTCTCACAATCTGGGTGCTTAAACACCTGGCTGATTCTTACCTAATTATCAAACCTTTGGGTTCATGGCAAATGCATTTGAGTGTTTCATTTGTTTCCTGATGTACATACAACCCCAGAAAACACACACAAGTCCACTGCAAGTGTCTAATATTTGCAATTGTGAAATATTGAAGAGACATACTAACTACATATTTTAGAGGGGAATAATATATAGTGATTTTTAGAACGGGAAGTGTCCTTAGGGATGGAGAAGACAATCGCCCCGCCCTTTTAGAGCTGATGCAAATTAGATCCAGAGGCCTTTGCTTCTGGTTACAGAGGAGCAGAAAGAACTCCGAGCAAACCTTGCTTAATGTTAATATTGTGATCTAATCATCTGGATACATACTTGTAAAGGTAACTCTACAAAAACATATCAAAGAAGGTGAATGAAGCAGGAGATGTGAAATCCATTGAGTGCTTACCCTGTAAGACAGAGTGCGCAGAGACCAGGGGAGGGGCAGGGCCAACAGCAGGCGTCACTCCTGGGGAGCGGGGTGCTAGCTCCCCAGGGAAGTGGGGGTGGCGGCTGGCAGCGGAGGGGTGCTGGTCCTGCGGGAACTCCCCCTCCTGCCCTAGAGACCACACAGATCGGTGAGGAATTGGCCACGTGAGCCCAGCATGCCCGGGGTGGCTGGGCGGCCTCGTGGAGGTGGAACCTGTGTTCACCAGGCAGCGGCCGGCCTCCGCGTGTGCTAAGATGCCAGGGTCATGGTGCCTTCTTTTTGCAGAGCTGCGAGGACGCAGGGACCCCACTGTGGGTGTACCCACAGCCGGAAGCGCACGCGCAGGCCTCTGGTCCTGCGCGCACGCGCTATCACAGCGCCATCACCTCTGTCCTTACAGCACTTCTCCACGGAGTGCGCCCTTTTTTTTCCCGTACCAAGTGAGGGGGACCAAAGTGAGGGTTTATCCGTCTTCATGCTGGAAGGCTTTCGGTGTTTGAGTTTTGCTGTGTAAGCAAGCGCGTCTAGCCCGTTACAGGAGGCCTGAGTGGGCGTGGCCTGTGTACGTGCTCACTTACCCCTGTGACCTCCCATCCAGCCCCCCACCCCAGCCTCACGGGGCCTCAGCCCACCTGCAGGCCTCCAATCCTTCTTCGGGGTGGCCCAAACCCCGGAACTCTGGGAGGGAAGGCCGGCATGGTCCAGGGGTCACTGGCGCCGAACCAGATGTGACTCGGACTAGCAAGGGACCCAACCCACAGCCTCTGGGGCCGGAGGGGATGTTCTGGCAGCGTGGTTCTCGGGAGGCGTCCAGTTACTGGGAGTTTTTAGTCTGCTGGTATTTCTGGAAGGCCCCTGTGGCCGGGAAGCTGAAATGAACCGCGTTCCTCTCTTTGAGACCGCGAATTCCCAAGCCCGGGGATAGGGCTGACTGGGGTGGGCGCAGCGCGCAGAAGGTGGAGAGGTGGTCTGGCTCTGGGGTAGCAGAGGAGCCCAGCGGTGTGTGTATTTCCCGCTGTCCAGGGGAAGGGCTGACAGTCCGACCCCGGACGCCAAGGGGAGGTGCTGGAGGGGTCAGCGCCTGCCCCGTCCACGTGGCCGTCCTCCGTCCCCGCCGGCGTTCCGAGGGGACCCGGGGGCTCCCCGCTCCTAACCCAGCGTGGTCTCTAACGCTGTCTGTCGCCAGCTGCCCCCTCTGTCTCGCGCAGGTGTCGTCCGTAGTTTCTGTCTAACCGTGTGTGGTAGCAGCCCGTCCCCTTGTGCCCTGTGAACCCAGACACGCCATCCCCATGCTGTTCTGTGTGTTCGTTTCAAGAACTGGGTTTCCCTTGAGGAGAATACAGAGACTCTCAGCCCTGGGATTCGCCCACGTGGTGGAGACCAGGCCGCCCCCCCTGTTCACAGCTCATGAAAATTTGGTTTCGGTCTCGCGAACCCAAGGAGAGAATGCTGAATTTCTGTGCTCTCCGTTTCTGGACTCTGTGTCAGCCGGGTTCCCAGGGCGAGGGAGACATCCCGAACCCACACACAAAGCCCGCAGGAGCGCTCCCCCTCCTAAGCCACCAGCGATCCTGGCCTTGTGTGGAGCCTGCATGCTCTGCCCCCAGACGATCCTGGTTCTTAAAGATGGCTATTGGAATCTGGAGTGGCAGTAGTCCTTCCAAAGCCCAGTGGCTGCTGGAGACAGATCTGAAGCTACTCCTCAAACACTCAGCGCTGCCTCCAGGGCCGCAGTCTAGGCGTATTTTCCCACAAGCGAAGCCCACGTCTGTTCGCCCTCCCCACGCTCTGTCTTTCCTGGGTAACACGGTGTTTTGTGTGTGTGTGGCAGGTGGCAGGTTCAAGAAAGAGATCGTCGTCGACGGACAAAGCTATCTGCTGCTGATCCGAGATGAAGGCGGCCCCCCGGAGGCCCAGGTGAGTGCTGGCGCACACCGGGGCCGCATGCTCCTCTCCCTCCTCCAAGTTCCGGCTCCACAGGTGTGCGCACAGAGCTGAGAGAGGGGACCCTGAACATGTTTCCTGTGACTGAGGCTTTTCAGTTCAGTTCAGTCGCTCAGTCGTGTCTGGCTCCGCGACCCCATGGGCCGCAGCACGCCAGGCCTCCCTGTCCCTCACCAACTCCCGGAGTTTACTCAAACTCATGCCCATTGAGTCGGTGATGCCATCCAACCATCTCATCTTCTGTCGTCCCCTTCTCCTCCTGCCCCCAATCCCTCCCAGCATCAGGGTCTTTTCAGATGAGTCAGCTCTTCGCATCAGCTGGCCAAAGTGTTGGAGTTTCAGCTTCAACATCAGTCCTTCCAATGAATAGTCAGGACTGATTTCCCTTAGGATGGACTGGTTGGATCTCCTTGCAGTCCAGGAGACTCTCAAGAGTCTTCTCCAACACCATAGTTCTAAAGCATCAATTCTTCGGTGCTCAGCTTTCTTTATAGTCCAGCTCTCACATCTGTACATGACTATTGGAAAAACCATAGCCTCGACTAGACGGACCTTTGTTGGCAGAGTAAATCTCTGCGCTTTAATATGCTGTCTAGTTTTGGGGAGAGGCTAATCCTGTTTTCCTGCAGACAGAAACCTGGAGGGGCAGTTTGGTCTGTGTGGCTGATTTTCCCTTTGTGTTTCTAAGGAAGGAAGAGCAGATTTTGCACGGATTTGTCAACTCAGTGGCATTGGTATCTGGAAGTTTCTATAGCTTCCCACCCTTTTCTTATAAGTGTTTCATCTCGAGAGCATGCTAAGTCGCTGCAGTCGTGTCTGACCCTTTGTGACCCCCATGGACAGTAGCCTGCCAGGCTCCTCTGTCCAAGAGATTCTCCAGGCGAGAATACTAGAGTGAGTGGGTTGCCATTTCCTCTGGAGCAGTGCAGTCACTTAGAAAGCTGGATGGAATTTGGAAATCTGAACACCACCACCAGGCTGCCCACCAGAATTCACAGCCCAGATCATTCTCCACTGAAAACCAGTGGCTGCAGCATGATGTGACCTCTTTGAGAGTTCCTTGAAAAATGGGCATTGTGGAGAAAAAAAAAAAACCAGCCTCAGTGTGAAAAATTTCTTTCTTTGGTTTACTCACTCCCTAGTTTATGACATTATTTCTATAATAATTTACCAGCTAAACACTTTAAAGGAGCTAAGGGCTGGTAATAGTCAAGACTGATTAATGCAAACTTAGCATTAAAAACATCCCTGGTGTTCATTCTTGAACTTACCCGTCTGTGACAGTGCACTTAAATTGAGTGGTTTAAGTGAACGATGTTGAATATGGGGGTGGTTAAAGTTCTGGCACTCCATACACTGAGGGTTGTGTGGCTCGACAGAAAAATGGTGCGGAGTTACCATGTTCCAGTGAGTCTAAAGTGTCACTGATTATAAGCTATGCCAGTATTTAGAAGAAAAATACTGTCGAGTCCTGAAACAAGCAGGCCTTAAGGTACGTTCTGATAGCAAAGATGTGAAAGTATGGAAAAGATTTCTTTAGCTTTGATGAAACAGCATAGTCAGTGATAGTAGTAAGGAAACATTAAAGACCGGTTAAACATGGAAAAAAGCAGGTTATGAAGCTGTGAGAGCTCATGGTCAGTGCATGTCAGTTACTCTGAGTGGGACAGGGCCTGACGTCTGACTGCCCTGGAAGGTTTGGGAGGGCAGTTAAGCTCAGTGAGTCTGTCTTAGTCGACCTTCACCCTTGGGACATCTGTCCTGCTGTCACGACGGCTCCCTCAGCGGCACTGGGAACAGGTGAATGAAGTCGGTGAAGTGTGGGAGTCACTGGGATGATTTTCCGCCATTCCAGCTCATACACGTTTTGGAGTGTGCAGGGGTAATTTCACACTCAGAGAGCACACCGCTGCTCCGACTGTTAAGAGTCTAAGAAGAAAGTTGAGAGATGTGCAGAAATGCATTTTGGAGCTGGTTGAGTGGCTTCAGGGCCGCTGCTGTCCAGGGTTGCTGCCCCGAGATGGACACTGGTGGGTCCACAGGTGCACCGACATGGTGCTTTTTTTTCCTGACTCAAGTGGTAGACCAGCGAGCCGGCCTCCCTGGACCAGAGTTAGACAGTGATGAGACCTGTCCCCAAGGGCTCCAGGTCCGCCCTGGAGAGGGAACTCCAGCTCGAGGAATTGGGCGCTCAGAGCACTACCCACCCTGAAGGTTTCATCAGCTGTGATTGCTATTGTTATTGTTGTTTCAGTTCAGTTCAGTTCCGTCACTCAGTCATGTCCGACTCTTCGCGACCCCATGAATTGCAGCATGCCAGGCCTCCCTGTCCATCACAGACTCCTGGAGTTTACTCAAACTCATGCCCATCGAGTTGCTGATGCTATCCAGCCATCTCATCCTCTGTCGTCCCCTTCTCCTCCTGCCCCCAGTCCCTTCAAGCATCAGGGTCTTTTCCAGTGAGTCAACTTTTCACATGAGGTGGCCAAAGTATTGGAGTTTCAGCTTCAGCATCAGTCCTTCCAATGAACACCCAGGACTGATCTCCTTTAGGATGGACTGGTTGGATCTCCTTGCAGTCCAAGGGACTCTCAAGAGTCTTCTCCAACACCACAGTTCAAAAGCATCAATTCTTCGGCACTCAGCTTTCTTTATAGTCCAACTCTCACATCCATACATGACCACTGGAAAAACCATAGCCTTGACCAGACGGACCTTTGTTGGCAAAGTAATGTCTCTGCTTTTTAATATGCTGTCTAGGTTGGTCATAACTTTCCTTCCAAGGAGTAAGCGTCTTTTAATTTCATGGCTGCAATCACCATCTGCAGTGATTTTGGAGCCCCCAAAAATAAAGTCTGACACTGTTTCCACTGTTTCCCCATCTATTTCCCATGAAGTGATGGGACCAGATGCCATGATCTTAGTTTTCTGAATGTTGAGCTTTAAGCCAACTTTTTCACTCTCCTCTTTCACTTTCATCAAGAGGCTCTTTAGTTCTTCTTCACTTTCTGCCATAAGGGTGGTGTCATCTGCATATCTGAGGTTATTGATATTTCTCCCGGCAATCTTGATTCCAGCTTGTGCTTCTTCCAGCCCAGCATTTCTCATGATGTACTCTGCATATAAGTTAAATAAGCAGGGTGACAATATACAGCCTTGACGTACTCCTTTTCCTATTTGGAACCAGTCTGTTGTTCCATGTCCAGTTCTAACTGTTGCTTCCTGACCTGCATACAGGTTTCTCAAGAGGCAGGTCAGGTGGTCTGGTATTCCCATCTCTTTCAGAATTTTCCACAGTTTATTGTGATCCACACAGTCAAAGGCTTTGGCATAGTCAATAAAGCAGAAATAGATGTTTTTCTGGAACTCTCTTGCTTTTTCGATGATCCAGCGGATGTTGGCAATTTGATCTCTGGTTCCTCTGCCTTTTCGAAAACCAGCTTGTTGTTTAGTCGTTATCATCTGAACTTCAGATTTAATTCTGTCCTGTCACATAAAATCTCCATGGGTGACTGAATCCCCTTCTCATTTCTATGTAGAAGTCAGAGCTTGGGCTTCCCAGGTGGCGCTAGAGGTAAAGAACCCACCTGCCAACGCAGGAGACATAAGCGATGTTGGTTTGACCCCTGGATCAGGAGGATCTCCTGTAGGAGGGCATGGCAACCCACTCCAGTATTCCTGCCGGGAGAATCCCATGGACAGAGGAGCCTGGAGGGCTGCAGTCCATAGGGCCGAAAGGAGTTGGACAGGACTGAAGTGACTTAGCACGCCAGCTTACCCAATGGAAACTTTCCCTGAATGTGTCAGAGCTGATGCCTTGACCGTCAGAACTTGTGTCTTAGTTGCAGCTTCTTTTAGAGAAAACACTTGGGACTTTTTGCCCCCATTTTCACTTGGGTCTTTCATTAAAGAGAAGGGCGTCTGGCTCCAGACGGTGCCCGGTGCCGTGTGTGTGACCCTGGGGAGCTCTGAGTCCCGGGGTGCTTTGCTCTTGGCTCCAGCTTTCCAAGGTGACTGTGGGTATCACATGAGCTAACGTGTACCTCCGGCTGATTTACTAGAAAGAGAGTCTGATATGAGTTCAGCTGGATGCAGGTAAAACAAGAATAAAATGATAGAGAGCCGGGCCACTGTGGGGTTTTCTTTTTCTCCCCGTCCTTTTTGCTCATTTTGTTCACTGGTTTGGTTAATGTCTCTGGCAGTGAGTCCTAATTCCCTCGAAGGGTGCTGTAATTCATCCACGGCAGATCTTGACAATATGAAGACCTCTTCTGTTGACAGAGTCGTTGGTCCTGGGGGTGGAGGACTTCTGAGCTGTGGGTGCCCAGAGGAGGAGCCCCATGTCAGGAGTCCCAGCGTGGCTTCCTGGGGGGCCTCTGGGGGGAGTTTAGGGTGCAACAGGAAGCTGCAGGGTTGCCCCGTGTATCGGTCCCCAGGTCGTCTCTGTGCGCGCTGGGTTTGCTTTCCATCAGCTGAGTCTGGACGGGGGTGGACGTTCCTGTGGGGAAGAAGGTCTGGCTTGACTTTGGAGACACAGTGGCCTGGGTGGGAAGCGGGTGCGGGCCCTAGCCAGGTGTGTTGTGCTAAGGATGAGAAGGGCGTTAGCGACGCTTCAGAAGCGGGTTTTAGTAGGAGCCGGACGCCACGTGTGGCCGCCCCCGCCCCGCCCCGCGCTCGCGAAAGTGACCCGATGCCGCCCCTTCCCTCTGTCCCCTCGCTCCGCGCCCCCTGCTCACCTGCCCTCTTTCTCCCCAGTTCGCCATGTGGGTGGACGCCGTCATATTTGTCTTCAGCTTGGAGGACGAGATCAGCTTCCAGACTGTCTACCACTACTACAGCCGCATGGCCAACTACCGCAACACAAGCGAGATCCCGCTGGTCCTGGTGGGGACGCAGGGTGAGTGGCGTCGGGCCGCTGGGCTCTCGGGGCTCGGGCCGCTGAGCCGCCAGTGGCTTCCTGGCCTGCATTTTCAGAGACGGGGGCGGTTTGCAGGCGGTTTAAAGAAGAAATAATTTCCTGCTCAAGTCTTCCTTTTTACAGGGAGAATCCCTGAAACGGAAATCAGCCCGTCTCCTCATTTGGTTCGGTGGAGAAATCACTTGGCAACTTCAAAACAAAACACACTGCTACACCCCCAAGGGCTTCAGAAAGAAAGGAAGTCTAATTTCTATATTAGGACATCTTAATTCTCTCTGTCATAGAGTAATGTAATTTGTAAGCAACCTAAAAAGTTACTTCTGTTAATGTTTGCACCTGTAATACTGATTTTTTGGATACATTGCTGAGTTTCGTTTATTCTGCTGTATTTCTTAATGTCTTATGATCCAAATCTCATTTTTAGCAGATCCCTCAGGGAGCATAGAATCTTACTGCATGGGTACTTTTTTTTTTTCTAGGCCACGTGAAAACTTGATCTCTTAGTAAAGTGACATCACCTAGGACACTCTTGATCATAAATTCATTGACTTGCTGGTATCTGCTGGGGACTTAACTAAGGGGTCACAGGGATTGTTTTAGAAAGTCAGATGAAAGTGAAAGTCCCTCAGTCGTGTCTGACTCTTTGCGACCCCATGAACTGTACAGTCCATGGAGTTCTCCAGGCTGAAATACTGGGGTGGGTAACCATTCCCTTCTCCAGGGGATCTTCCCAACCCAGGGATCGAACCCAGGTCTCCCGCACTGCAGGCGGAGTCTTCACCAGCTGAGCCACCACGGAAGCCAGATGAAGGTTAACTATAAAACCGCTTTGTCAGAAGAATGAGGAACTTAGTCACGTCCAAGAAGCCCTGGGTTTAGCCCTTCATTTCTTGGTGCAGGTTCTGTTTTTGTTAATTCCTTTGAAATGAGCACATCCTGTCTGCCCTTGCATGCCCTGATGTGAGATTTCTCCAGATAAGAAACTCTCTGCGTCTGAGCAGCAGGACCAGTTAGCTATATGCAGGGCACCAGGCCTAATGGAACTTAGAGCAGGGTAATCCACGCCTTGGCAGGATCCAGGATCATGGAGTGGGGAAGTGTGCTGGGTGGAAAAAAAGTGTGCAGTAAACTAAAGGCATCTTCTCAGGGTGCTGGATGTAAAATGTGAGTTGGGGTTTCATGGAGAGGACCTCACCCCAACCCTGGCCCGCCCCCCCCCCCCTGCCCCGAAGCATATGTGTCATGACCAGTGGTCTCACAACTGAAGCCTTCAGAGCAGAGGTGGGTTTAGACCAACTTGGGACATCAGTTCAGTTCAGTCCATTCAGTCGCTCAGTCGTGTCCAACTCTTTGTGAATCCACGGACGGCAGCATGTCAGGCCTCCCTGTCCATCACCAACTCCCAGAATCTACTCAAACTCATGTCCATTGAGTTGGTAATGCCATCCAACCATCTCATCCTCTGTCATCCCCTTATCCTCCCGCCTTCAATCTTTCCCAGCATCCGGGTCTCTTCCAATGAGTCAGTTCTTTGCATTAGGTGGCCAAAGTATTGGAGTTTCAGCTTCAACATCAGACCTTCCAATGAACACTCAGGACTCATCTCCTTTAGGACGGACCGGTTTGATCTCCTTGCAGTCCAAGGGAGTCTCAAAGAGTCTTCAACACCACAGCTCAAAAGCATCAATTCTGCACTCAGCTGACGTGAGAGATTTTTAATGCCTAGCGCGCCCTCTAGTGGTCACTGCGAGACAAGGCGCACCCGCACGAGCCCTTGGTTTGTGTTCGGTCGGATGTGTGCAGAATTGGGTGTTTGACTTCCTAAAGAAAAAAATTTTTTTAACTTTTTATTTTGTGTTGGGTTATAGCTGATTAAGAGACAATGTTGTGATACTTTTGGGTGTACAGTGAAGGGACTAAAACTTCTTGACATGAAACGTTTTACAGTGGGCGCTCGTCTAAAATCGGATCTCGCTTTTCCAAGCTGCCTGGAGATGGAGGCAGTTAATTTTCAGCAAGCCACCTCTCCCTGCAGGCCTGCCCAGGGCATTTCTGAGCCGCAGCGCAGTCTGTGTGGGCGTTTCCTTACTGGCTCCCTGGGTTCGGGGGTCTGCGCTCAGGACGCAGAATGCCTTTGTGCAGTAGGGTCCTTGGAGTAAAGGAAAGACAGGCATCCAGTCCAAGCCAGAAAGCCGCCTTGACCAGTTTGCTCTCTCCTGTAGCCGTGTGTTTGGGTGTAGAGAGTGGTGAGTCTGGAGGCCACGCAGACCTGGCCTCACTGCCCCTGGGCCACCATTGACCTTGGCGCTGCCAGGCCTTGGAGGGAGGAAGTCTCCTGGGGCCCTGGGGGCATCCGTGGGCACAGCAGTGTCCAGCCCGTGGCTGGTTCTGTCTCTTTTGTCCGACGCGTGGCCCACCCCCTGAGGTCCTGCTGGGGTGCTCGGCGCCTGTGTTTGCCTGCCGCTGACCTTGGAGGTGCAAGTCGCCTCTGTGTGTCCCGCCCCAGCTGAAGGGGAGTCCGTGCTCGTCTCCCGCCAGGATGATCCATGTCTCAGAGTGCCCCGGAGACGGCTCCATAGGCTGGGGAAGTCCTGCCAGGGGCCCTGAGGGCAGGAACCAGCCCCCTTTCATTCCCTCAGTTTATAAGCCTCTGTGGTTGGAGAGCTTGTCTCAAACCTGTTACGACTTCAGCAAAGCCACGCCCCAAAGGAGCAGGACCTGAGTGTTTTCAGGAGGGACAGTCTTCACCTGAGGGGTCATTACCCAGACTTCTGATTCCCACAGCACCCTAGAAGCCCCCGTGGCGGGAAGGTGGAGTGAGTGTGGGCTTCTGGAAGGTTCGACCCTCGGGGACCATCAGCTCCTTGTGGATTCGCATTCTGTGAACTCTGCACACAGATCCTGCTGCTGTGCAGACTGCATGGGCCACCAGAGACAGCGGTGAGGGCAGCTCAGATCCCCCTCACCCCCCGCCCGCGGTGCTGGGGGCCTGTGGCCCCATCGGAGGTTCTGGGGTGGAGCAGATGAAGGAGAATCAAGTTCTTTGTTTCAGGACACGTGGGGTGCGGGGCCTCACCCAGCGGTGGGTGGACGTGCTCTCTCCCGGGTCCCGTCGGGGAGCTGGAGGATCTTCATCAGGGCCGAGGCGAGGGTGTTTGTTAAACATGGTCTGTTTTAGAGACGGGCGGATCACATTGATTTGAGTGGTGAAACCTGAGCTGTGTAAAAAAAGATAAAAGGTGTAGAGTCGCAGGAGTGAAATGTGAGACAAAAAGAGTACTCCAGTGTAGGGTCTGTTTCTGATATGTGACGCCGTGTCGTGGAAGCCGGGGTGGGACAGAAATGGGGTGGGCACCCAGCAGGGAAAGAGACCTGGGGGGTTGTGGGGAACCCCATTCAGGATAAGTCCTAAGCTGGATTAATGCTCTAAGCATTTATTTTCTAGTTTACATACACCACAGTGTTTGAAAATCCTGGGTTTCTAACTTTTTCTACCATTTTCTTAAAAGATGTTTACACCTTAAAAAAAATACTTCTTTTCCTTAGGTGTTATGAAATCCAAGTCAGGTTTATTAATCTGAGGGTGAGACAGGATGAGATACTGTTTGAATTAATCCCTCTGACAGGCCCTGCCAGGGATCTAAGTCATAGTTAGTTTTCCTGGGGGTCATTCAGAACTGTCAGTTAAACCTGTTCCATGGGGCTAGGAGAAGCAAACAGGAAATAAGGAGAAAGAGAAAGTGAAAACAAAATCAATGTATCAGTCCCTGGAGATGCGGCTCTGGTTTAACACTGAGAACGCTGAGCGCCTGTACATTTCCTCTGCAGCAGCAAACGTCTAAGAGGTTGTTCATGTCTTGTCTGCTGCTGTTTCCTGGACCAGCGGAGAAGACTCCCGTTGGGGGGCTGTTCTTTAAAGAGCTCTTGGGTGTTTCCTGTAACTCAGGAGGGGTCAACCCCTGCGGGAAAAATGCCACGTCCGGAACAGTCCCTGAAAAGCGTGTTTCCTCTCAGGGTAGCACCGTGGATGGAGCATCTCGGCCCCTCCTCTGGTCCTGTGTGCAGGGCGCGTGGCTGCCTCCTGACCGCATCCCCCTTCCTGTAACTCGGGAGTCATGGAATGAATGGAAACAGGGCTCGTGCAGGCCAAGCTAAAGAAAAAATAGCAGGGATGCAGGATTCATTTTATCAGGAGACCAGTGGCTGGTGCCCGATGTCTGTTTTGCTGCCCATATCTCCCCATCTGTACACAGATCCTGCAGGAGGTTGGGGGGTCCCCTGCTCGCCTACCCACCCACCCAAGCCATCTGTTCAGACCCGATGTGGTGCTCACACTCGTCTGTGGCCCCCTCTAGCGCCCCAGGTCACCTCCCACTCCTGCTCTCAGCCTTGGATCGCCCTTAAACCCAAGACGCTGGCGCCCCCCTCCCCCCCGGACCCCTGTCACTCCACGCCATCTCCTGCGGGCGCGCTTCCCTACCCCTGCCCTCCCAACCCGTCTCCTGCCCTGAGCCCCACCTACACCCCTGGTCCTTCCTCGGCTCTGTCTCACTTTCGCCCCCTCCCGGCTGACCTCCGGGAGAGCACAGGCTTCTGTCCCTCTGGTTCGCTGCGGTTTCCCTGTGCCGCACCTGCTGGGGCTCCGCGAGTGTGTGTCCAGCGGGCAGAGGGCGCCTGGAGGGGCTGGTGCTGGTGGGCGGGGTGTGTTTCATGGGCGCCTGTGGATAGATGGCCACTGCATGTAGTGACCGTGTTTTCTTCAGGAACCACGTTTATTTAACTCTTACCCTTCCCTCCCCGGTGGCTCAGATGGTAAAGAATCCGCCTGCAATGCGGGAGACCCAGGTTCGATCCCTGGGTTTGGAAGATCCCCTGGAGAAGGCTATGGCAACGCACTCCAGTATGCTGGCCTGGAGAATCCCATGGACAGAGGAGCCTGGCGGGCTACAGTCCATGGGGTCGCGAAGAGTCAGACACGACTGAGCGACTGACATTGTTGCATTTCCCCCTCCCCTCCCGGTCTTTGCGGACATGCTGTGATTTCATATCCAGGAGCAGGGCCTCTGGGACAGCTGGCCATCTGACGTCTGGGCTGAGTGGGCATAAACGATGCTTTGATCGCTCCAGGTCCTGAGAAGAAGCCCCTCCCTGCTGGGCGAGGGGCGGGCTTTGAGCTCCTCGGGGCCGCGGGGAGCGGGGCGTCCTCAGGCCGCTCGGGGTCACCGTGTCGCCTCTTCTTGCCCATCTGTTGCAGACGCCATCAGCTCCACCAACCCGCGGGTCATCGACGACGCCCGGGCGCGGAAGCTCTCCAGCGACCTCAAGAGGTGCACGTACTACGAGACGTGCGCCACCTACGGGCTGAACGTGGAGCGCGTCTTCCAGGACGGTACGTACGCGCCGTGCGTGCGGGGGGATGCGCGGGGGCGGGAGCCTGGGCCCTGCCTGCCGGAGGGGCCCCGCAGCGCAGCTGCGCTCGGGGCCAGCGACCATCCGCCCTGAGACAGGCCGGCAGCCAGTTCGTGTGTGCCGTCGGCGACGTCTTTGTGCACAGATGGACCATTATCGTGGGACGTTCTTTATGCACAGAACGTGCAGGACACACGCATCGTTTCTGCTTCACTGTAGACGCTCACTCTTCATTCGTCCCCCTTTAAAAAAAAAAAAGGTTTAAATGGCAGCAAGTGAAGAACTAAAGAGCCTCTTGATAAAAGTGAAAGAGGAGAGTGAAAAAGTTTGCTTAAAGCTCAACATTCAGAAAACTACCATCATGGCATCTGGTCCCATCAATTCATGGCAAATAGATGGGGAAACAGTGGCAGACTTCATTTTGGGGGCTCCAGAATCACTGCAGCCATGAAATTAAAAGACGCTTACTCCTTGGCAGGAAAGTTATGACCAACCTAGACAGCATATTAAAAAGCAGAGACATCACTTTGTCCGTCTAGTCAAGGCTATGGTTTTTCCAGTGGTCGTGCATGGATGTGAGAGTTGGACTATAAAGAAAGCTGAGCACTGAAGAATTGATGCTTTTGAACTGTGGTGTTGGAGAAGACTCTTGAGAGTCCCTTGGACTGCAAGGAGACCCAACCAGTCTATCCTAAAGGAGATCAGTCCTGGGTGTTCATTGGAAGGACTGATGCTGAAGCTGAAACTCTGATACTTTGGCGACCTGGTGCAAAGAACTGACTCACTGGAAAAGACCCTGATGCTGGGAAAGATTGAGGGCAGTAGGAGAAGGGGATGACAGAGGATGAGATGAGATGGTTGGATGGCATCACCAACTCAATGACATGGCTTTGAGTAAACTCCGGGAGTTGGTGATGGACAGGGAGGCCTGGTGTGCTGCAGTTCATGGGGTTGCAAGTAGTTGGACACGACTGAGTGACTGAACTGAACTGAAGGGTTTCATGTTAGGAAGACAGGAAATGGAAAGAACAGAGTTGGGTCTGTCCAAAAGTAACAGCACCTTTGGCCTGGTGACGGGAGCCAGCGCCAGCGTTTGGAAGTTACTTCTTGTTGTCACCTCAGTCTTAATCTCTCACCTCCAGGACGGCCGTGCCTCAGGTGAGAAATTCTCCTGAAGAAGCCGAAGGTTGCCCGAGGGATAAATAGTCATGGACAGGCTCCTGATGGCAGATGAGAGGCTGGGGGCGAGGGGGGTAGTGCAGGTGGAGAGGAGCGGGGGGTGGGGAGGCACCAGGGAGGGGGCAATCTCCCCGACCCCCCCAGGTCAGGGCTAGAGGGTCTGGGTTGGGTTAGCATCCCAGGCCTGGGATGAGGATGCTTCTGGCAAAGGGTCCTTTTTCTGATGGGTGGGGTGGGAAGCGAATCCTCGGCCACCACCTCTTGGTGAATTTGGGTTAGAAGGAGCTTCATATCCCCAGCTCTGGTGCTGATACGTGTTGGGGGCCAAGCAGGCCAGCTGGGTGAGTTCTCATGAGAGGCTCCCTCGCTGCCCGTGTCCCGGAGTCTTGCTCCGTGGTCTTTCGTAGAATTTCTGCCCATCCCCAGCATCGGTTCAATTCAGTCACTCAGTCATGTCCGACTCTTTGTGACCCCGTGGACTGCAGCACACCAGGCCTCCCTGTCCATCACCAACTCCCAGAATCTACTCAAACTCATGTCCATTGAGTTGGTGATGCCATCCAACCATCTCATCCTCTGTCGTCCCCTTCTCCTCCCTTCAATCTTTCCCAGCATCAGGGTCTTTTCCAGTGAGTCAGCTCTTTGCATCAGGTGGCCAGAGTATTGGAGTTTCAGCTTCAGCATCAGTCCTTCCAATGAACATTCTGGACTGATTTCCTTTGGGATGGACTGGTTGGATCTACTTGCAGTCCACAGGACTCTCTAGTCATCTCTAACACCACAGTTCCGACAGAGAGGATCAGAATTTAGTTGTATGGATGAGTGTCTTCTCCACGTGACGACTTTAGTTGTACATTGAGGTTTGCAAATGTTAACTCTCCATGAATAAATGAATCATCTCACATGTAATAAACTAATTAATTAACATCAGGGATGATGAGTGACGAAGCTTCCCCACCGGGCTTCCAGGACGTCCCAGGAAGTGGGCAGGCCCCCTGTGTGCTGGGGCACGCCTCTCTCATCCTCACGGTGGACCCCGGGCAAGGGGAGCAGGATGAGGGATCTTTCCAGAAATCATCTGGTAGAAGCCCACATCGTGTCCTGACTGTGACAGCTGCACAGTGATTCCACTGGTGAAGCATGTTCAACTCAAAGTGTGAGCTTGCACAGGCTTGGATTTCCCATCTATTTTGTTATTATTCTAGAAATTGCCATTAAGTATTTTAAACATACAGAGTCTGCAAAGGAAATAACATCCGCACTACTGCAACTCTCTTGTGATTTTTATCCTTAAAATATTTTTATTTATATGAAAATTATTTTTAAAGTAAAATTGGTTTTTGTGTTTTTTTTTTTTTTTTTTGGTGAAGTTGCTCAGTCATGTCTGACTCTTTGCGATCCCGTGGGCTGTAGCCTACCAGGCTCCTCTGTCCATGGAATTTTCCAGGCAAGAGTCCTTGAGTGGGTTGCCATTTCCTTCTCCAGGGGATCTTCCTGACCCAGAGATCGAACCCAGGTCTCCTGCATTGCAGGCAGCTGCTTTACTGTCTGAGCCACCAGGGAAACCGTCTGTTTTATACAATAATTAGATGACACGTATTTTAATTTGTTGATCATTGGCTCTTAATGATCATTGTTAGTTGGTAAAAGTAGGTGTCAGCCAACTGGGGAATATTCTCAGTACTTAGAAATAATTAACAACAGCCATCCACTTTAATCTTCAAGAGAAAAAAAAACAACTGGGAAGTTCTGTAGCTAAAGAACTCAAGAAGACTCCCGTAGCTCCACTAAAGGCACTCGCCTTCCCTGAGCCCCAGTCTGGGAGCCAAGAGCCTTAAGCATGTTGTTAAAACAATGCACCAGGGGCTTCCCTGGTGGCTTGGTGGTAAAGAATCCGCCTGCGATTTGGGAGACCTGGGTTCGATCCCTGGGTTGGGAAGATCCCCTGGAGAAGGGAAAGGCTACCCACTCCAGTATCCTGGCCTGGAGAATTCAGTCCATGGGGTCACAGAGTCAGACACGACTGAGCGACTTTCCCTTCGCTTTGAGAAGTAATATACTCCCTGCTCATACTTGAGCTGGGTGGGCGACTCTGACTCAGGACCCAGCTACCCGTGTCTCTTGGGAGCATTCTGCGCCCGCTGCTGGCTGCCCAGGGCATTCTGTGCCCTGTATTTGCCCTGGCCATGTCTGGGAGAGGAAGTGTAGGTGGCCCTAGTGTTACTGCTAAGATGGTGATTTCTGCATGTGGTTGGCATTAAATTTTTTGAAAGTCCCTGGTCATCTGTCCAGATTAGGGCCTGAAAACAGGAAGAAACAGGATTGCAGGAAGTCAAGTTCACTCTTGACAGGTATGATTGTTCTGGTGCCCTGATTTTTTTTTTTAAAGAGACGTTTCACTTTCTGTAAAAGAACGAGGTGTGAGTGGCAGAAGGCCTTGCTGAGCACACCTTTCGTGGCGTTTTAGTTCAGCCTCTGGGCAGGTAAGGGAAGGTGGTGGTGGCGGTGGTGGGAGTTTCCAGCCTAGATGTTGGTGATAACCTAAAACAAAGACCACTTAACAACAAAAGCAAATTCTACCCTTCGAAGACCACGCAGGGCTTAAAGGGAGAAAGGAGACATTGGTGTGGGTGGTGAAAGTGCCCCGTGGAGGGTTACCCGAACCATCTTGGGAGGAGGAAGGTCTTCATGATGGACCAGCCATGGTTTTTAGCTTCCTGGGGTTGGGTTTTGGAAAGTGCGGATTTCAGTCGTTCTTTGAGCAGCTTTAAATCCCCCCACCTTACACCCAGCGTCCGTGTTTGTTTGTGGCTGGTTTTGCCATGAGTGGCAGTGGTGTGTGATGGACGTGGGGTGAGCGCACGTAGGGCTTCTGTCACAGAATGGGTATCTTTGCCTAGGGACAGGGGAGGATCCGTTTTTTGTTTGTTCTGGCATTTATGAAAAAGAGCAAGCAGGCCTCTAAGATTTTGGTGGTGTATGTCACCATTTTTGTGCTGTGCTGTGGTCAGTTGTGTTCGGCTCTTTGCAACCCCACAGACTGTAACCCTCCAGGCTCCTCTGTCCGTGGGATTCTCCAGGCAAGGATACTGGAGCGGGCTGCCGTTTCCTTCTCCAGGGGTTCTTCCTGACCCAGGGATCGAACCCGTCTCTTGTGTCTCCTGCGTTGGCAGGAGGATTTTTTACCACTGAGCCACCTAAAACTATGGCATCTGGCTTGTGTATTTTAAAGATTCCTGATGCCTAAAGAGGAGTGGCCTCATACAGAATGAAAAGTGGAACCAGCTGGTGGGACAGAAACCCATTTTAATTTCCCCTTATCCGAGCTCTGTTTTGCCCTCCCCCCCCACCCGCCACCTCACTCACTGGAATGAGTTGGTATAGATGTGTGTGAGTTGTAAACAGTTTTGTTTTATATATATGCTGTTCTATTATTCCTCCCAGCGTCAGTTGTATGCAGGATTTAGTATTCTTGCACATGTATTCTAAAACTGTGGTCGTTTGTTAATCCTCAGAACATCCTATTACATGCATTTAAGGCCTACTCCCCACTGAAGGTTGGACTTCTTAAGCTTGTGTTCATAGAACAATAGGAAACCTCTGTGCAGAAGTCTGCCCTGACGATAATCGTTAGAGCAGCTCAAGACCATAGCGCCTGAGACGCAGGTACACGGCGGATTGCCATCCATCCGCTTCCTTCTCACCAAGACTGCTGGATTTTGTCACCAGGTTGTACGTCAAGGGCAGTTGAGTGATCTCATGTGGAAGACCTTCTGTTTTAGGATGGATCCGCGTTACTTG